AGTTTGGTGAGAAACACCGTTCGTTCCGCTTCTTACAATGTCATTCTGCAAGTTATGTTTAGGATACTCACCTTTATGATGAACGGCATTCTTCTACGCTACACCACAAAAGATATGATCGGAATTGTGAATGTGCGATTGATGCTTCTGAACCAAACTATCGTGTTTGTAGCGCGCGAAGCCTTCCGTAAAGCTTGTCTCAGCAAAACCGCAGACAAGAGGTGGGGTCAAGTCATCAATCTTCTTTGGTGTGTATCCCCGCTGGGAGTTCTACTGTCGTCCGTTCTTGGTTATGTATGGTTGTATCTTCTTGAGATTCCTGATCCAGTGAAGATTCCAAATTATCCTTTAGCGGTTATTGTTTTCGCAGCCTGCGGATCAATTGAACTCTTGTCCGAGCAACTCTGGGTTGTTGCTCAAGCATTTGTGTTTTTACGGCTCAAAGTTGTCATTGAAGGCATTGCAAACTTTGCCAGATGTGTCATTACTCTTGGACTAGTAGTTTTCGTACCAGATCTTGGGATCATTGCATTTTGCATTGCACAAATGGCATTCTCGCTTTTATCAATGGTTCTCTACTATGTGTACTTCATATACTACATTAACTCTAATCCTAAAGAGAAACTTACTGCTGCAAACGACTTCCCTCTGAAATCAGTACGCGATTTTTTCCCAAAAACTCTAACTGACAGGAGTTTTGTGAGTTTAGGACTGGCTCATCTGACATGGAGCTTTTTCAAACAATCCTTCTTAAAGAAGATCTTGACAGAAGGTGAACGCTACATCATGACACTGTTCAAGGTGTTAACTTTTTCTCAGCAAGGAATTTATGATGTGATTAACAATCTTGGCTCACTGGTTGCCAGATGTGTGTTTATGCCAATTGAGGAGAGTTACTACACTTTCTTTGCTCACACCTTGGAAAGAGGGAGCTCAGCTGACCAGCAATCACCAAAATCAGCAAAAATGGCCTCTGAGACACTAGAGGTTGTTCTAAAGTTTGTCGTTTTAGTCGGGTTGAAGTTTTTGGTATTCAGCTACAGTTACTCCTTCCTGTTATTAGACATATATGGAGGTGCTACTCTCAGAAGTGGAGAAGGTATTTTTTCACTCTTTTAAAGCATACTCTAATTGAGGGTATCAATGGAGTAACCTACCTCAGTCATTAGTGCTGATGGTTGGAGGAGCCATGTAATGATATTTCAAGGCATTTTTTTTCTGATGTACAAAATTACTTTCAACGTAAAAGAAACATTTTCCTTGTTTAAAACACCAAAAAGTAACTGCTGGCCAACAGTGTTTCCACCAGACTGCGCCATTGCAGGAATCCCACATTGTAATCGGAGATGGCTCCCAGAAAAATGAAAAAAGGGCCAATTTGGCCCTTACCTTTTACAAGGCTGTAGGCTTAACACAGGCATAGTATTTTAAAAGCCATCCCAGGGCTTGAAATTACAACTGATATGGTTTCCTGTTTATGTATTGAGTAAGCAGCGTAGGAAGGGGAATTCAAGAACCATTCTGACAACAGTTACAAGTCTAGCAAGCTTCACGGAAAGTAATTGCTCAGTTTTGCTGTCCAATTTCAGGTCCCTCTCTGCTGCAATGGTATTGCTTGTATGTGTTGATAATTGCTGTAAACGGCATGACGGAATGCTTCATGTTTGCTGCCATGAGCAAAGATGATGTTGACTCATATAATTACAAGATGATGGTATTCTCAGCAGTGTTCTTAGGGGCGTCCTGGTATCTCACTGTTCTTGGTAGTGTTGGCTTTGTCATTGCCAACTGTCTGAACATGCTCCTTCGGATTTATCACAGGTATAGAATCAAGAAACAACTAATTATTGCACACCCTTTGGGGAAAGCCTCGATTCACTTGTCCTAAACCAGGGATATACATGTAGTTCCACATGCCTTGTCTCTTTTTTTTCTTCCTTTTAGTTGTGGAAATTGTTTTGTATCTTACATAAATATTGACCAGGAGTGTTTTAGGGCTTGTATTTACTGTGCTGTAATCATTTTGTACAGTTCATTAGAAGTTCAATGCTTGAGTACATGTTGGCATTTTAAAAGTCTTTTTGGAATGAATGCAAGTGTTATGTTAAACTCTTCTATTGTTGGTGCAACCCCTGAAAGACAGTTATTATTAACGAGGCAATTATATGCATGCACACCTTATTGCCTTGTACTAGAACATGTCAAGGCCTCTTACCGGTAGCCTTTTGCAGATATTGTACACTCTGTATAATTGATAAAAACAACATTTTCTGCATAATTCATAGTACAATCAATCAATCAATCAATCAATCAATCAACTTTCATTGCGCACTCTTTACAGAATTTTAAATATTGTTGTAGTAAAATACGAAGTAAAACTTCCTTTATTTTTCAGCCTTATATTCATCCACAACTATTTCAAGGCAGCCCCTCATCTTAAACCTTTACAAGGTCTTGTGCCGTCACCTCTAGTGTTAGTGGCATATGCTATCTCCTGGGCTATAACNTTGACAAGATGACCTGTAAAAAAAAGCTTAAGTGAGCTTTGGGTCATTTGATTGCCACTGTAACTAGAGGTTTTCAGGAATCTTTACGATTATAAGACATGGGTTGGGCCAGGGTTTTCGGGTATACTGTATACATGGGGATTCTAAATCGAGTATACGGTGTTTTGACGCCCGTATTGGCCCTTTTAATTTATGGGTATAAAGTACAGCCGAACCCACCCAAAATGTCAAATCTAAATGGTCGCTTACGGGAGGTGGTCGCTTACGAGAGCTTAGAACATACTGGTTCAAAGTTTTGCCTCATCAGCATATGGTAACTGCAAAGACTTCCTCCAGCTGGTTTTAAATGTTTTATTCATGCGAAAAGTAAATTTCGAGAAAAATTCCTGTACTTCCCATTGAGAAATTTCCGTCTCTTGTACTACCCAGGAATGCGCTATGGTTACAACACCTTATTGAAGTACGCGCTATTATCTGTCACGTGGTCGCTTACGGGAGGTTAAAAACAAGAGAAAATTTCAAACTTTTATCTCTAAAAGTGGTCGCGGTCGATTACGAGAGGGTGATTTGACTTGGAAACTTTTGGTATTTTGGAAAACTGGTCGCTGAGGAGAGGTGGTCACTTACGAGAGGTGGTCGCAACCTGAGGTTCAACTGTATACTTCGTTTTTTCCAAATTTTCATATTGCGCATGAATTTGAGGGAAAATGTTGGGTATAATGGGTTTGCCTTCTTAAGTATATTGGTATACCGCTACTGCCATTGCCAACCCTGAAGAAAGCCCGCCCTCACCTCGAAAAAAAAAGCCCGAAAATAAGGGTATGCGGCAGGGGACATGTTTTATAGTTGGTATAGTAAATGGATTGTTCGTTTAACGACTGCAGTACTGTTGTTTTCACAGCGTTATCTTCAGAGACTTCAGACTATGCCGTATTCGAATATAAGCCCAAACCTTTCCTAAACGCAAAATTCTTTAATTTGAGACAATGAGCGCCCTCCTCCCCAACCCCTCCCACTGAAAAAATTCTTGTGAACAAATTAATGAGGGTGGTAAAGGGTATTTACGTGACCCGTGATCGGCCCTTTTATTTCCTGTGAAATGTGAAATAGCCATTTTTTCCTCGTAAATCGTGATTTCCATAGTCGCCGTGAACTGTGATTTTCCAAGATGTTCTCTTTTATTTTCCGTGAAGCTTGAAATGCCAATGTTGTATTTTCCGTGAATTGTGAAAGGGCTGCTTTATTTTCCGTGAAACGTGATCTATACCCCCCCTTTACCACCCTCATTAATATGAGCCCAGGTTTTCTACCTTTCATTGTGAATCGTTGCGTTGTTCCGAGGTAGTAGGCGAGCATTGCTAAAACAACCAGTATCAAGCCTAGAAATGGAACAAATTCTCGGTGACGAGCTGGCGAACTTCTGGTAATTTTACGTTGCCTCACATCGTTGATCAATTGACGTTCGTTAGTTTTCCTGGAGAAGACGAAAACAACAACATGAAACTAAATAAATTGTCGGGGAGTATTTGAAACTGGTGACCTGCACGAAGCTGGGAAAAAATCTGCGAATAGCACAGCATATACAGACAGGAAAACGTAGACATTTTTGTAATTTGTAATTGTCTCAAGTAGTTCTATTCGAAGTTGTAGCTGTGACTTAAAAGAAATTCTGGTAACGAAACCGCGACGTGAAAAACTGAATTCGGGGCTTTGTCCGAGACGCTCGTATAAGAGAAATGTCCTTTAGGGTTTCAAAAGTTTTGGTGCACTATGAATAAATAAACTAATTGGTGTGTCAGTCTGTTGTTGTGCACTCATAGTCACGAAAACAAGTTGTTCTCATCGAGGAGATACAGTATCACTCTCAAATTGCATCAAAACTGATCGATTAAATAAGAATTCAGAAAGATTTGGGTTTTTTTTCACTTACCTCAAGTCGTATTCCGTCGCTACCATTCTCTTAATGTTGTTGGGATGAAAGTCAAAGCGAGAAGATTAACTCTTCGAAGTGAAGAAGGAATTCAAACTTTGTTAACTAAGGAGTTCTTTAGTACGGAGCAACAACGACTTTAAGAAGCGTATTAGCTGCAAGGCAGTGCAGAAATGACTAGTAAAATCTATTCTTGAAATACTGTGCACAGTATCATTCGAAGTTCTTTGTGATCTGTGTCAGTCAAAAACTATTTAGTAAAAATTTGCATACAGTACTTTAATCAAGACAAGAATGT